GTTTCAGGGTGGGGATCATTTTGAGGGGCTGTACAGGCTTCTAATTTCTTACTGTGAGATTTGAAAAATGAAATTCTTAAGCTCGCTCATGCTTAAGAATTTCCCCAGCCATTTGAGTTGAAAGCTCTCTTGAACGCCTTGTCACAAATGGTCTCAATTATTTCAATGAACGTGAACAAGACTGAACTTCCCGCTACTAAAGGGTTTTATACCATTGTGCTCTGCAGGCCATGAAACATGGTTCACGGGAGCAACGTAATTGAAATAGCTATATATTTTGTTTTTTCTTTAGTACTTCTTATTGCTTGTAACTTTTTATTGTAGTTTTTTTTCTTTTTATACATTTTTGTTTATTCTTATTTACTAGATTTTAATTTTTTTTTGGTCAGCGGGACCCCGTTGATAACAGTACTTGAAACTGAAGGGTTATCCTGGATAAATATTCGATCATTATTATTATTATTTATGATTATTATTAGCAATCGACATTTTTCAGGTTTCCGATTATACACTTTGTTTGCCTGTTGATGGAACGTTCAACACGATCGTGTTACATATTTCTCACCGTTCCTTTCCGTGATTAGTTCTGTATCTCACTCAGTGTAGTTAAGTCATCAAAATGTCCGAAATGTCGCTACGAGTATATAAATTAGTCATAGCAGAAACTATCCTTTTTAAGAGACGGAGCTGAAGCGCTTCTTTTTAATCGTGTTTTGTGAAAACAAGGCTGTTGGTGACCTCGCTCTAAGGACAACATGGCTATATCACAAGATGCTGGTCTTGTTAAAATGACAAGGTTATCGACGTTTCGGATCTGCACGACATCTTTCACTGAACCAAATGAATCTTTTCGTCGGACGAATCGCACTGCATTGCATACGGGGACCTGCTTTGCCTTTGGTTTTCTGATCCTCAAAATCTCGAGCACTGCGATCCTAAACAGGCGGTCTCTATAACAATAAATTAACGGACTAGCCACTGAATTTAAGTACACCAGTGTCTCGACTACTCTCCATGCCAAAAGCCCACGAAAGACTTGGAAATAGTCTCCAAAAATAAAGACAACCGTCATTGGAATAAAGGAAATAACCAGGGCAATAGTTACCAAAGCCATCGTCATAGCAACTCTGTTTTCCAGTTTCGCTTTCACCAACACACTGACTTGCTGAATTTGACTTAATTCGCGTTTTCGAACTGAAAGGTACACCATGACGTAAAAATACACGATGGCTATTAGCAAACAAAGTATCAAAATAGATGAAATGATGTCCATGATCTCTGCAGCTAAAAGAAGCCCATCCCCTCCTACCACCGTCATTGAAATGAAAGCTGAAGATACGCCTCCTATGGATAATACCCAAGCTATCATCGCCAACATTTTCAGGCGGCCTTTGGTCACTGTCATTTTGTACTCCATGCATTTCCGAATGGCCATGTACCTCTCCCATGCGATCATTGTCAAATGCAAAAACGAGCAAAAATACAGAATATATGAAAACAAAAAAATTACCAAGTCAAACGTGCAAAATTGCCGCTCAGTCAGTATTCGATGGGGAAGTAACAGTCCAATTATAGCAGATAAAGGCATACTAATACCACCTACTAGAAGGTCCGAAACAGCCATACTTCTTAACAAGATTTTGGAAGGTCTCTGTAGTTCTCTCCTCTTCGTAATTGTTATAATTACTGATAGGTTCAAAAGAAATGCAGTGGGAGAGAGAACAGAGTAAACAGCAGTAAAAATCCAAGGAGAAGTAGTGTCATGTACGTTCCACATTAACCCTTGAGAATGTAGGCAATCAAACACTGACCGGTTCATGTTTGACATAGCGGACTGTTATACATGAAAACTCGCTTGTTTCTAGTTTCTGAGACTCGCGGAGTTACGAAGCCTGCGTAGCTCACCCAACTTTATGCTAAGTTTAAACGGATGTGAAAGAGACTTTTTCTAAAATTTGCTTTAAAAACAAGTGTTTACATGAATACTAAAGCAAGTTGCGACAAGGAGAATTTTCTCACAAGTACTCAAAGTATAGTAGAGGAAAACTATACTGAGCTGTTTACAGCGTTTGTGACAGGAATTCTTTTTAACTGATTTTGGTCCTTAGAAATGGGTAATTAACGATTCTGAACTCTTAAAATGTGTCTCTTTTTTCCCTTTTTAGAAATGTCCCATAGCCAGGGGGCAACTCAGTAAAGGATCAAAGAAAGGCTGAGAATTTCTTGTAACTTTAATTGATTTGCTCAGCCTTGCTTCCGATTCTGATTATGGCTTTGTGTTTGTGGAATCAAGCGATTTAAATTACTGTTAAAAAGCGAAAGTACATTGGAAACGAACGGCCAACCTCAAGGGACTGGCAAAATTTGTTCGCTAAAACGAGGTTTCGTTATATCGAGGCTTTGTTTCATTTATTTTACTATTACTGGGGCAAACATAATCGTTCGTTTTACCGAGTACATCGCTATATGAGGCTCATTATATCCAGGTTGTATAGGGAAGTAAATGAGGCTTCGAAAGATGAGCGGGGTGTCAATTTGGCCGCGCGATAGGCACTGGGGGAACATTTTTAAGGCACATCTACTTGTTTTGAAGACGAAAAAATATGGTTTTTCAAGATTTTTGACGAGTTTTAATTTTTTGGACTCATATATATTTTACACATATTTATGCCGGATTAAAAACGACAAAAAAAAATCATGTCATACAAAAATTAATAGCAATGCGCAACTCTGATTCTTTGTTTCTTTATACCAACATCTATATGTTAAAAATCCATGAAAATAATAAAAAGATTGTATGGGAAAGTGATTAGATGGGAATCTAATGTGGAATAATCTCCGTAAAACGGCTGTTCTGAAAAAATATGACTTGTAAACTAATTAGAAGCTATTTTCTTTGTTTAATCTGACTTTAAGCAGCAGGATTTGGATATTTTAAATACAAAAAAATTATAAAAATTTTTGTCATTTTACCCGTAAACGATTCATCATGTAATAACCTCAATTTAACCCCAGCTTTAAGTAAAAAAAAAAAAAAATCAGTCAATCCAGTAGAATACGGTTGCCGAAATGAAGCAAAATTCGAAAGCACTTATATCCATTCACTGTTTCATACATATTAGAAAAAAAAAACCGCTATTAGTTCCATCTTGTGCCATATGTCTTTGATATTTTAAGTATTTGATAAATTATGCCATTTGTTGTTCGACAACCTCGCCAATATCTTTTGATAAATTTAGTTATTCGTTCGATAATTTACTGCAACATCCATTTGATAATTTACTAATATTCATTCGATAATTTAGTTCAAATCCATTCGATCATTCGATAATTTAGTACAAATCCATTCGATAATGTACCACAATATTCATTCGACGATTTACTAATTCCATAATTCACTACGACATTTTTTCACAAATATACCACAACATTCATTCGATAATTTTACTAATATTCATTCGATAATGTGTGAAAATGTTCATTCGATAAATGTCTGTAAACATTCAACCCTGCACTTGACCGACTCCCCCATAGTTGGACAAGAAGGCCTGGTGGCTAAGCCCAAACCAATGAGAGCGCGCACTGTTGGGAAAAATTTCCAGCTTTTTTGCCATTTGCATAATACACCTTGTGCCCCTCAAAATTTTGCATAGCCTTTGGTTTTCATTTCTCCTGGGTATGTACCGCCACCGAAATGATCCCCACCATCCAAATGATCTCCGCCACCGAAATGAACCCCGATCACCACCGAAATGATCCCCACCACCGAAGTGATACCTATTCGCAATCGGAATGATCCCGTCATAAATTTTAGGAACCTTGGCTTAAATGGACTTGGGACTTTGCTGTCTATTCTAAATTCTTCGTTTATTCATGCAAACACGATTCTAAACAGAGGAAAATAGAGAAAGCAATTAGACTGATAACAGTTCTATACCGACAACATTCGGCAATTTGAGTTTTTTTTGCTTAAGAACCACGTCTGATTCGCTTATAGTGTTTATGCAGGATAATCTCAGAGAAGTTTTTCCATTCACAATTTTTTCAAATTAATAAATCTAGACTGCGTAAGATCATTTCGTACGCCAAAGACGATCTTTGCACACATAAGATGATAACACGAGCAAAGTCATGCCGAACAATGTATCAATGAAAAGCGTAAAAAACTACCTGTTTGCTCTTCTTCTCTTAATCCACTTGTTATGATAGCAAAGGCAGCCAGCAGCAGAAAAATAATTGTGACTAACAGAATAATTTTCATGATGTTAATGATCTGAGATGACAGCTACAGCAGCTAGTGCAAGTACCGAATCCGAACCGAAACTAATTGGAAAGCACGTGTTGTAATGTGAGCCTGTAACTGACGTCATCACTGTCGTCATGACATCGTCAGGAAGACATAACCTGATTGCAAGATTTGACTTATTTTGCTTTAACACAATTTTATTAAGAAGATTTTCTTGCAAAAATATTTTTAAAAAAATCGAAGAAATAGAAGACATAAGTGAATTGCATCTTTTGAACAAGTATTGTCTAGTGTTAAACCAAAAGAAAAAACAATTTACTGCAAAATAAAGTGCGGTAAAAGGTAAATTACACACCGTAAAAAAGATGCAATATAAATAAATAAAAAGCACGCACCAAATTGTTGTCCAGTTTTTGTAGTCGATATTCCGGGGATCATTTCGGTGGTGACCGCCGGTATCATTTCGGTGGTGATTGGGGGTCATTTCGGTGGCGGAGATCATTTGGATGGTGGGGATCATTTCGGGGTATTACAGCCGTTCCGAGAGGAACTGAAAACAATGCTTATGCAAAACTAAAAGGGGTAAGGGGTTGGACCTCGAGACGGAGCCTCCCCGTATAAAACTTTGTTGACTATCCCCCTCCCCCCCCCGGTACGGACACCCGGAAAAAACGGACACCATGGCATGTCCCCTTGGTGTCCTTATTAACTGGGGCACCTTGGAAACAGTGATCAAAACAGTTGAAAGAGGTGGAATAAAGATAAACCTCGTTGTTCATGGCACGAGACATTTGAACGATAATTAACAATTATTCACCAGCGAGCGGACCAAAATATTGGTTAGTTTATTTTTTGCCAAATGCGCGGAAGTTTTAAAATCTTGCGCGCCGGGCCGGCAATATATATTAACGCTCACAAAGTCAAATGTTTAACTTACGTAATCAAAGGAAGTCAAATGATGTGAACAAACGAAAGACTTAAAACGTTCGACTATAGATCTTGAGTGATGAAATTCAACGTTTTTTGATCCGACACTCTATGATCAATGTGGAAAGTGCCTTCAAACTTAATCGCGACTATTCCAACCCCATTTTATTTGACAGGTGTAGGCAAATTTTCCTGGAGTTAAATTATTAGAGACCGCATTCAAGATACATAAAAGAAAACAGCGTACATCTTAATTGTGGGAATGAGATGTGATTTACTGTTATGGCTCATCTTCCCAGGAGCTGAGTGATTAGCTAAATCGCGACTTACTGGCTGTAGCGAAATGGCTGAACGATCACAAGCTAAAGCAAAGTAGCTCTAACATTATCAATCTTCGACCACAATGTAAATAATGTCAACACCTTCAACATCCTCGGAGACCCAGGGGCAGTTAGTCGGGTCGATAAAATGTTCGTGGTGAAAGTTTACTTTAAGATCGTATCTTACAGTAAACATTCACCACGAACATTTTGTCGACCCGACTAACTGCCCCTGGGTCTCCGAGGATGCACCTTCAAATACCTTGAAATTTTTATATCATCTGATTTTACTTGGACAAATCATGAATACATTGCTGGCAAAATTAATCAAAAGCTTGGTCTCATCGCATTAAGCATTTATTACCTTTTATTGCACGCCTTCTTTTTTTATAATAGTCTTGTCATGCCTTTATTTGATTATGCAGACCTTGCTTGGGGAGACAAGCGTAATGTAACCTTAATGTCCAGTTTGCAAGTCTTGCAGCAAGGCTGCTAAAATAATCATGAATAATTTCAGACAGACCTCTTTATTCATCTGCTACGCATGCGCTTGCCACTCTTAAGTGAGTTCCATAAGGGTTCCATTAGAAAAAAGGCGTTTTCATAGAAGATGTATTTATGTGTATAAGTGTTTAAATGGACTTGTTGAGGATGACATGAACTTAATAAGACAGTAAGGACAACATGATTATAATACCAAAACTAAGCTAAATTTCAGACTTCCAAGTGTCAAAAGGAATTGGGCAAACAACGGACTGCATTTCATGCCATTAAGGATTTTAACTCCCTTAGCCAGGCAATCAGACAATCCGTGAATCTAAATGTTTTTAAACGTAATCTTTTTAAATTTGTAATTTAACTGAATTTGAGTTCATATGTTGTACATTTTAATAGTTATTACATATTTTAGCGTTTTAACGTCTTCGTGAATTGTGTGTAGTTTTTTTTTCAATTTTATGAGATCCTTTTTTGAACCATATTTTATATGAAAAAGTTATCTCCATAAAGATCATTATTATTACTAAAAAATACGTCGTAGTTTGTTGTCGTCCTCCACAAACCGTGAAATTAGGCAATTTCACGCCGTACTCATGCAGTGTGGGCAAAGAAATGAACTTACCAAAAATCTGACAGGCCAGAAAATTATTTCTGCAGAATTTTAACAGATGGCACTTTGCCAAAACCAAGAATCAGATTTGAATATTTTTAATGCTAAGAGGACACGTATTGTTGGCCGTCATTGCCATATGTACTTAAAGCTTTATTGATGGTTCTGTACTGTTTTCTTGCAGTGTTCATGGGAAAACACTCCATGTCGCAACCTGGGGTGTGCATGAGGTCAATTGATTTCAGTAAAACTTTTACAACTGTAACTCACTCTAAAACAATAGCTTCACACGTTAATTACACTTATAAAAATTTTATTATATAGGTCATTTCCGAGTTGTCCCAAGCCTCTGTTTCAAAGCGAGGCTAAGTGCGAAGCCATTGAGATGAAAATGAGTTTTTATTTTCATGCACATAAAACTCATTTTCACAAGAAGGTTGTGTACTTAGCTTCGTTTTAAAAGTGAGAGTTTTTAGAACTCGGAAATAGCCCATGAGACCCTGCTTTTTTATATGTATATATAATATATATATTAACACTTGCTGTAATCCTAACGCAATTTTCTTTCAAGACTTCCAGTTTAAACTTAACGGAAGGTTGAGTGAGCTACGCTCGCTTCGTAAAGTTATTCACTAGACGTTCAACGGTGTCAGTTTAGAAAGTAAAACATAGCNTTTGGATTTCGACCAATCAGAACGCTTGATTTAATTGAAATTAATGATTAAAAGTTAGCACCTTTTAATCACTTTTGCCGTTCGCCTGCCTACCTCTTACACGGACCATTACTTAATAGTTATTACATATTTTAGCGTTTTAACGTCTTCGTGAATTGTGTGTAGTTTTTTTTTCAATTTTATGAGATCCTTTTTTGAACCATATTTTATATGAAAAAGTTATCTCCATAAAGATCATTATTATTACTAAAAAATACGTCGTAGTTTGTTGTCGTCCTCCACAAACCGTGAAATTAGGCAATTTCACGCCGTACTCATGCAGTGTGGGCAAAGAAATGAACTTACCAAAAATCTGACAGGCCAGAAAATTATTTCTGCAGAATTTTAACAGATGGCACTTTGCCAAAACCAAGAATCAGATTTGAATATTTTTAATGCTAAGAGGACACGTATTGTTGGCCGTCATTGCCATATGTACTTAAAGCTTTATTGATGGTTCTGTACTGTTTTCTTGCAGTGTTCATGGGAAAACACTCCATGTCGCAACCTGGGGTGTGCATGAGGTCAATTGATTTCAGTAAAACTTTTACAACTGTAACTCACTCTAAAACAATAGCTTCACACGTTAATTACACTTATAAAAATTTTATTATATAGGTCATTTCCGAGTTGTCCCAAGCCTCTGTTTCAAAGCGAGGCTAAGTGCGAAGCCATTGAGATGAAAATGAGTTTTTATTTTCATGCACATAAAACTCATTTTCACAAGAAGGTTGTGTACTTAGCTTCGTTTTAAAAGTGAGAGTTTTTAGAACTCGGAAATAGCCCATGAGACCCTGCTTTTTTATATGTATATATAATATATATATTAACACTTGCTGTAATCCTAACGCAATTTTCTTTCAAGACTTCCAGTTTAAACTTAACGGAAGGTTGAGTGAGCTACGCTCGCTTCGTAAAGTTATTCACTAGACGTTCAACGGTGTCAGTTTAGAAAGTAAAACATAGCGTGTTATTACCATGGCCAAGAATGAGGAGGAAACAGCGTCCTCCTTGACGAACACGACCAGTCCAGTGTTTGATTGTTCACATGCACCAGGCTTTATTTGGGACGTACATGACACTACTTTTCCTTGGACTTTTGCTGTTGTCGCATCCATTTTCTCTCCAACAGCCATTCTTTTGAACGTACTAGTAATTCTGACAGCAAGGAAGCGGAGAGAACTAATGAGACATACCAATATCTTGCTATCAAGTATGGCCGTGGCGGACCTTGTAGGAGGAGGTTTCTGTATACCACTATCAGCCATAGTTGGCCTGTTACTTCCCCATCAAATACTGGCTGAGCGGCATTTTTGCTTGATCGACTTAGTAACTTTTTCTTTTACTTCTATTCTGTTCACGTGTTCGCTTTTGCATTTGACAATGATCGCATGGGAAAGGTACATTGCCATTCGAAAATGGATTGACTACAAGGTGATAGTCACTAAACGCCGCGCGAAAACGTTGGCGATAACAGCTTGGGTATCAGCCATAGTGGGTGCATCTCCAGACTTCATCATACAGGAAGTGGTTCGTGGCGATAGGCAGGTTTTAGCTGTAGAGATATTAACCATCGTTTTATCTAGTGTCCTCGTTTTTATGCTAGCGCTCATTGTATATTTTTATGTCATGATGTACCTTGGAGTTCGCAAACGTAAATTAAGTCAAATTCACCAAGTACGCAGCGTGTTGGTGAATGCGACACTAGAAAAAAAAGTTGCCATGACGACCGCATTGGTTACGGTCACGACTATTCTTTCCTTCCTCCCAATTACTGTTGTCTCTGTCTTGGGAGGATTTTTTCCCGTCTTTCGTGAATTTGTAGCAGTTCAAGTAGCTGAGGCACTACTGTACCTAAATTCTGTAGCTAATCCACTAATTTACTGCTGTAGAGACCGCCATTTTAGGATTGCCGCGCTCAAAATTTTGAGGGTCAGAAAACCAAAGGTAATACACTTTCCTATAGATGATGCAGTGCGATTCGTCACACGGGGAAGAGATGTATTTGGTCCAGGAAAAGCCGTCGTACAGATCCGAAAAGTCGAAAACGCTGTTGGTTCTACATCTTGCGATTTGGCCATGTAGTTCTTAGATGAAGCTTAATTTAACCTTTTTCTTCACACACAAAAAAAGCGCTAAACCAACTGCGTCAGCTACTGTGATTAATGCTCGTAGCCGACGTGGCGAAAATTTTGCTGACCACTACACTGGGCATAAGTGAGATATAAGACTACAGTTGAACCTCTATTAAGCGGCCACCCTCCATTAAGCGAGCAGTAATCAAAGTCCCAAAATAATTGTAGAAAAGAATGGTAAATTAAACCTTTATTAAGCGGCCACCTTTTGGTCGTCCCAATGAGAGTTATATTGTTGTCACTTCTATTAAGCGGCAACCAAGCGCTTGATACTCTTAGTTCGACTTCATTTTAAGAATATGATGAAGGAAATACAGTCCGCCATAGAATGTGACCACCGATTGTGGACCAGTAGTGCTGCTCCTGTCAGTATCCCGAGATACCCCGAGGATGACCTCCTAACAGCGGTTCAACTGTTGTTCTGGAATAGACTGCGTGCCCTTTGAAGACTCTAAAATCTCGTTAAACCTCCTCGTTTCGCTTAAAACAGACAAAACTGTCAAGTCCACGTAGCTGGTGTACTCTGTCTTGTTGGTAAGTCAGTGCGGTCCGTGTAGCCAGCACGTGTGCCCAGGGTTGTCGGTGTAGGTCCACTTAGACAGTTGGTGTTGTCGTTAAAGACAGATCTATTATATAGTCAGCGAGTCTTAGCTTGCGTATCCCGTTATTAGAAAAACAGACCATTGCCGGCTAAACTTTCCTTTGAAATCCGTTTTACCAGGGACAGTATTGCGAATTGCACTCGTTGGTTCAACAATCTTTGGGTTTTAAATGGTATTTCTACTGCTGATTTTCAAATTAACGTTAGGTTTTTTCAGCTTATCCAGTCGTATGTTTCGCTATCAAATCGCTTCTCTTTGTTTGTGTGTGTGTTTGTGTTTTTTTTTTCGCTTTTTTTGTGTGTTCGATCGAGACGTGTATTCAATGTAAACAGCGTAAGTTCTCTAGATGAGCCTTTTAGGCTCTTAGAGGAAATGTTGTTTATAAAAAAAAAATACAGAGGGATAAATCAACTCCGAACTGCGCTCACATCATTTCTGTATATTAATTAAAAACTGAGAAGACATGGACAATCGTCACTTGGATTTTCTGAATTTCCATGGCGCATAATAAACTACAGCGTATTTTGCCATAACAAAGCCGCAAAGTTAGCAAAATAGAATGCAAAATCCTTATGTTGGATTGTTCTAACGGCCAATCAGCAGTTGCTGCGGCGACATTTTGGCCGCAACAGCACAGGCTTGTGAGAAGTTGTTTCAGGCCCGCTTTTAGCGAGACCACGTATGAGAAAAGGAATAGGAGCTTCTAAAATTGTACCTGATCTCAGGATACTGTTAAAGCACTATAAAGAGCTTCAGTGGCTTCATGGCCCATGGTTGCCAAGCCAATCAAACTCTGTGAAATTGCATTATACAGTCTCAATTATTTTTGTAGTATGACGAACAAGAAGAAGGGGGCGAATCAAAATTCATTCACAGCGAATTGTCTTTTGGGTAAAACGACTGCAACAGGTATAAGGGAGCTTGAGCAAAGGGGTTTCTGGAAGACGCAAGTCCTGACCGGAAATGAGGCATTTTCCTTCTAATATGCCTAGTTGACGCTATCAAATATGTACTGCTAAATTTCTTTACTCTTCTACAGCGACAATTTGCCCGCAAATTGGGCAAAACCACAACCGAACAATGCAAAAAGTCCACTTCCGCTTGACGCCCGTCGCTCAAAAACGTCTTTGCTAAAGCTGGACTCTGACTCTTTTACCTTTGCTTCAGTGTTTAAAGAAGCGGTCGCAATTCTTTGGCGAGTTGATGAATTTTAGAATGGTCCGTTAATGGCACGCACTGTCCATGAGGAAGTGAGACATTACATAGTATGGTGTGTAGACTGCAGGAATGCGGGTGAACCATTCGATTGAAATTTCTTCCTTTGGAGTTACAATCTGCTATTGTTTCGGGGTAATCACCCATTGAAATTTGTCCAGTACTACTCTTGGACAGTTCATCTAAAACTCTCTTATGCTGTGATGCGTAAAGGTCGTCATGAGGAAATAGGTCCTAAAAACCACAAACAACAATAATAAAACTAAATCTCGCCCTCATGGCCTCTGAGTCAATAGCTTATTCGGCCTTCGGCCTCATGGGCTATTGACTCAGAGTCCATTCCGGCTCGAGGAATAATTTATTGTTTTAGTAAAATCCAACTGGTAGGTCAAAAATATCGAGAATAAAAAATTTTTAGCTAGTTAAAGGTAGACTTTAATCCTTTTTTTTCGCCAAAAAGCCCGCGCTTTTGGCTACTAGGGGGCTATAACAAATAGCCTAGTAGTAGCTCAACCAATCAGAACGCAGCATTGATAATAGACCACTAGTTGGATTTTACTAATCTGCTTTAGTTTGTTAGGAAGTTAGTATGTACACGGAAGAAAGTTGTAACCGTAAAAATACTCTCTGGTCTCCTTAGAAGTAAATAAATCATTCAAAATTCATAAAGGAACAGATTCTATGATGTGCGCCAGAACGTTGTGTTGGAGGTGATCCGTTTTTTGGTCACCAAGCAAGACACTACCACTACACTTTCACCCTTTCCACAATTCAGTTGCCTTTAGCTGGCTGCGGGATGAAACAATCTCCTGAAATTTCACAGCTGGCAATCTTAAAGCTGCACCCATGATCTTCCACTGTACGAGGCCCCAACAGGGAATTATTTGTTAACATGTGATGGTTAAAATAAAAACAAAGAACAGGCAAGGTTACTGAAAGTCTGCTTTAGCCCATCCAATTGACAATAACGTATTTACTCGAATAAGCGCCGCGGCGTTTATTTAACTTTTCACGCCTTAGCAATTGCAGCACTCCTTCGAGGGTGGCGCTTATTTCAGGGCAGCATTTATTTGAATGTTGAACGTGACAAAAGGATTGTATTAACTACAGTGTTATTATTTTCTGTATTATAAACTAACACACTTAAGGTCTTTTGATTTTGATTATTTCACGGCCACGGCGCTTATTCAGGGGCAACGCTTATTTTAACATTTTTCTCCCAAATGTGGTGCTTATTTTCGAGGGTTGCACTTTATCAGGAGCGGCGCTTATTCGAGCAAATACGGTAATTAACATAATTATTTCCAACAAACATAAGTACAGTTTTTTTACCAGTATGCCATCTGTACACTGTAAGAGAATAGCGAGCCATTGTTCACATCCAAGAGTTGCACGTCTATCTTGAAATGACTGAAATTCTGACCATTTTGGAAATCTATACAGAAATATACAACCCTTATCAGTAACAATGGGTCTTGTCAATGCTTGAATAAGCCTCAGGGTTAAACTAAAGGGGTGTTATTTTCAACAAGGTGCTGATTTCATTTTTTCGACTTTTCAACTCAATAATTGTCATGACATTGCCTTCTATTCAGGACAAAAAATAGAACATTTAAAACGGGAAAAGTGGAATGCACCTTTGAACAGAAACCTAAATTTGTGTGTGTGGTACATTCACTTAGCTTTCAAGGTCCTGTAGTCAAATGAATTCTGGTAATCCAACCAATCCACTTTACTTTCCATATTGCTATCCTCAAAAACTTACCTAATGTTTTTAGCCTAAGGTCGGTGGGGTGTTAATTCGAAGTGTGGGAAGCTGGGCACTAATTTGAATATTTATGGTAATTTCTAGCCAGTGTACAGCTGCAGGGCCGTAGCCAGGAAGAAACTACAACCGAGGCGAACACACGGTCCGTTGTACGAAATCAGCCGTATGAAATCTTCTAATATTATCAGTCTGATAAAAAAAATAAAAATCGACAGTATTTGGTAAAATTTTACCGAGGCGAGTGCCTCGGTTCGCCTCATACTGGCTACGGCGGTGAGCTGCCCCCTCCTTACTTCAAAACTGGAAAAATAGAGTTGTTCAATTAAAAAGAAGCATTTTAGCACTTCTTGAACAAACTGACAAAGCCACCATTCCTCACACACTCTTATCTCTTAAGCAATTAAAATTGCCTGACTTTCATGTTGATGCTACTTTTGAAGGGGCTAAAAAAATTGTTTTCAAACAGAACTACCAAACATATAACAGGATAACTTGATGTCCACATGAATTAGCTACACATGTTTTGATAAAGAAACAAATGCCAAGAATAGTGAAAAAATGTGCATTAACCCTTTTAGCTCCAATATCCATATTCAAATTCTCCAGACTGAGCTCCTTACATTTCCTTAAGGATTAGTTGAGAGATTTTGATAAAAGATCAAGACATTTTTCTCAGGTGATCATTTCATTAATCCTCATAGCCATTTCTCTTGAAAATGTTTAGATATTGTTGGGAGAAAATTGACGTTGGACATCACTATTGGGACATAAAGGGTTAATAACTTGATCCAGGCTCACCGGCAGAATCTTGACATCTCATAAATTTGAGGTACCCCAAGATTGATTTGTCCCTGGATGCACTTTGAGACTGCTGATGCTGGTGTCATCCACTGAAATGAAACTAGCATAATAAGAGTTACTTCTCTTTTGGTGGCAGAAGATTTCTATTTGGTAAATTACCACCATTCATCGTCATCAACAATCCTTGTCGTGCCAATAGTAGGTGCATAAGTAGGTCAATTACCTCAATTAAAGCCCTTTAATTCAGGGAATGACCAATAAATTTGGCTATAAGTTGTTATTTTTTTATAATGTGTCATTTTGTTGAGCTACTGTGTTAGTGCCCCAACAGTTTTGACCTAGCTGTAAAAAATTTCAATACTAAAATGAAGATCAAGATTAGACCCCCTGCCAATGAAAAAACATTGGATTCGCCTCTAAACCAATCAATGCCACTAAAACAGAACTTAAGAAGCAATACATGTATATAATTACCATTGAATGCATCATCTCTTGTTTATCAACATGAACAGCAGGTTCTTTGTCAATGAAGCAGGTGTAAAACATGGTATCATATTGCCTAGGTAGACTAGCTGGTGTTTTCCAATTAGACCATTCACTGAGAGACCACACATCCGGTACACACCTTAGCCACCTGTTAAATCACAGGGACATTAAAAAAAGGCCATTTTGTAAGTTCCAAAATCCCTGACATACAAAACGAGGCTAAGTACAAAACCGATCTTGTGTAATGAGTTTCATTTACACAAGAATAGAAAATCATTTTCTTAACACTTAGCCTTGCTTTGAAACAGAGGTTTGGGGTAACTCAGAAATAATAATGGCCTATTAATGTTGCACTTATGCAATTATGCACATAACCATTAACCCCACTTTCACAGAGTGAATGATGAAGTCCTGTGAGGTTTAATTTTTGAATATGTGTATGATATCCTGCATTATGAGCATTACTACTTTATGTGAAAATGAAATGACCAGCATGTCACGAGCATGGGACACAGAAAAAATCTGAGTCCCTGAAAGGATTTGAACCTATGACCTCCCAAACATTGGGCAAGAAAAAATGAGGCAAGAAAAGCGAAAAAAGAAGGGAGGAGAGAAAGCGAAAAGTAAAAGTCAAGACTACTCTGTCACTTTTAAACCCCAAAACTCGAAATTTTGCTTTCTGCGCATGCTGATAGCTTTCTGCGCTTTGCAAGCTGATAGTTTGCATCTGGATCAGAAGGCCGTAAAGTGTTCGACCTGTAAACTAGTTTGTGGTAAGTTTTAGCTCTTTATAGCACGACAGTGACCAGAAAACCACTCGACTAGCTTCAAAACGCGTTTTTCCGCAAAATCTCTAGGAGTGAATGGGTTGAATGTCAACATAATAAAGGGATACATTGTTACCACACAAGTCATACACTTACTGCAAACTATTAATAATTATTATTAATAGTTTGTACAGTACACTGTATCTGTATCATTGTATAATAATAATTATAATTATTATTCAGTTAAACAAGGTCCAGACAGCATAAAATTTAATCCAAATATTATTTTCCGGGGCCTCCTATAGTTCTTTGACTTGTTTGGACCATCCTGTAATAATATTAATAACACATTACATGAATATGAATACCCTGCTTCCCTTTAGCTGGTGGCTGGCCATGGGGTACCCTTCTCTTTTACTCCATGTAAGAGCCTTGTTTCCAGCTCAGTTTACACTATTCAAGTAAGCAGCGGAGGCTTTGTAGCTAATTTTCTGACAAGCTTGACAGATGATGTCACATCTGAAATTGCTTCAGACACAGTCATGTCCAATACTGCCGCACTGTTTGTGATCTGTACCATCCAAACAGAATCGTAACATGGCTTCCGTTGGTCCCTTTTTATCACCTACAAAACTTCATATGACACGTAAATTTCAAGTGCCAATGCTCGGTGCAAATTTTCACTGTATGTGTGAATGGCTTAATTTGTTTTTATTTTACTCAGGAAATAAATTGTTTTCTTGAAACCCTTTCAAATGATGAATATTCAAAAACGTAAGTTTCTTGAAACTCAAAACGTGATTCTTGCATCTGGAGACACACTTCTTGTGTCTTGACACTCGATTCATTCAAGTTTTTAGTCTCCACTCGAGACTGTCAACTTACTTTTGAGCAGTACTGAAATACTCCTCAGTCAGGAACACAATATACAAAGTGCCTTCAAGGTCAATAAATTATTAATAAGTTAATAAGTGTAAAATTCAGGTGATACTGGGTGGCACACTGTGACTTTGCCATAGATGACTATAGGGCAACTTGACCATTAATAATATTTTAATAAATCCTGTCAATACCTGCACATATTTAAAAAATTGGAAGCATCTGCATAAACCTTTTTCCTCCAAATCTGAACTTCATCAAAACTCAGGCGACTCTGATGTTTGCTCGAGAGGTTCTTCAGTAACAAGATGCCAGACTCCTCGAATGTCTCTCTGATTGCACATATTCTAAAGGCAACTTCACTTGGAATGTCTGTGGTTGACTTCTTTAGCACAGGAGGACGAGGTCCTTGTATATTAACAAGGGTAGTAAAGTCTGTACCAAACTTGGCAAATGATTGCTTAAACAATTCCATCCAGTCATTTGAAAAGTCAACATGTTTCTCAATCAAACCACCAGGAAATACATAAGTGCTTGGCTGGAGAAAAATGGAAAATTGCATGCATGTGCATTTAACATTTTATAATTGACTGAAGCTGAGTATGGCGTTGAAGAATAGTGAAGATCACAGTGGATCCTCTGAGATGTTCACAATTCTTCACACAATACATTAAACCAGGTTGAAAATTGTTTTACCATTCTTTCAACAAAAATATTAATGCAAGTTCTTGAAATCCTTGTAGACTTTCTTCAAAACATTTGCCAGTTCCTTGGCAGTTTGAGAACATTATTTTCACAGGGCCAGGCATTCTTTCTTGCAGTTATTCCACAATAAGAAGTTGACATCCCTTAAGTGATATTTTGCATATTCTGGCTGTCACTTTTCGCCAGACAGTTGGCTAATCCATCTTTGTATACAATTCTTTCACCATTTTCTTAAATTCTGCACTGCTGAAACAGCTAACTGGCTGCACTACTGTCTTGCAAGATGTCAATTGTGGATAATTTGAAATTACAAAATTAATTTTTTTTAATTAGGCCAAGTGAAAAAAATAACCAACAAACCAAAAAACAAAAATTACTGTTTCTCATCCCTGCATCCCTATCCGCAACATTTTTTGGAGCCGACTCTCTTTCTTAATTATTTGTTATTTATTTGGAACAGTTGGTATAAACAAAAACCAACTGGCATTATTAACTATTAACACTACCATCCTGCATAACAGGCCTTACTCTTCAAAAAACAAAGCATTTACTGAGTCCTGTGTTGGCATTTTTAATGCACCCTACCAGTTATTGAGATATATTGTATGACACATCACATTGTTTAAAACATACATAAAAAGTAAACCAATTTTGTGTTTAACCATGCAATATCTGACCTTTCCAAATTATCCCTTGGGTAGAATAATAATTTGTAAAGAAAGCATTCATTTGGCAATAATTAAGAACAGACCCTGACTGCAGACACCGATAAGCAGACATTCAACTGTGATAATGCTGGCGAGTAGAATTCAAAAGACAAGCTGGTGAGCAAAAGCAACAAGAAGGGCTTTGAGACTTTATTTACAGAAGCTTCTTTAGATTTTATATTTTACATTGTAGTTAATTCTTAAAGGCATGGATTGCTTTTCGAGTTCAACTAATGAGCTGACCACACCTGCCATTTAAATGATACGGTTTCCATGCAAAGTATCACCTGAGCTGTGCGAACAAATGCAAATTTCCTGAAGAGCTGTCAACTGTAACTGGGTCTTGAATTTGCATAGTTCAGGCGTTTCTCGAAGGAATCAAACGTTGAGTAAAGTTTGTCAATTTAAAGAGTAGTTCTAAAGTTTTTTCTGACGTGAGAGAGGTAAGATTGAACATTACTCAAAACTTGAACAAAGGTTGTAGACTCTGACAACAACCGAGAGTAGACAGTGAATTACTTGAAACTAAACAAAGGCCATTCGGGTTTGATGTGTCCCACTGGAATCAAGCATCTAGAATGGAGACACAACAATCGAGAATCGAGTGTCAACTTGCTTTTGAAGAGTACAGTAGTGTATGCTGGCAAATAAATGTAGATTTAACAATTATTATTCCTCGAGCCCGAATGGGATCTGGGTCAACGCAGCATTGATAACAGACCACCAGTTGGATTTTACTAATCGCTGTTATTCCATAATTGACATCAGAGACAACGTCAATGATGGAATAATTAATAATTGCAAATACAAATTTGGCTAGCACCAGCTGGTTATGAAGAATTAGCCAAGGGATTAAAACCAATCATAAGCGGCGACATCTTTTGATAAATAATAACAATAACTTATAGATATAAAACAATATTAATTTAGGTTGCAGGATGCAATGTGTGATGAAAGAACAGATAAAGTTGAAAACAGGGCGTATGTTAACTCACCATAAATGCACTCTTGGCGGCTCTTTCAAGCAATAAGATCCTGTAGTCGAAATAGCTGTTAAGTGTGCTGCTCCGTGCCACTAAAATTAAAGTGGACGCGTCGCAAATCTTGGTTTTAATAGCGTTCATTTTCGCGCTTTTCGTGGCCAATGAGCCGACATATTGGATTGGAAGGCCGGGTTACTAATTTCAATGTCGGGTCCAGTTTCTTCTCATTTCTGACCTCGTTTCTTAAAATGGCCGTCTGGTGGAACTAATTTTTGTAGCTTTTGCGAGATTGTGTTGGAAATTGTTTAACACTATTTATCAGGATGAGCGCAAACTACGTGAGAAAGATGGATCTGTTAAGGGCAAGGATTTTTGGCAAATTAACTCGGCAAGTTACCCCACAGTAAGTACAGTGAATAGTACATACATACATACATACATACATACATACATACATACATACATACATATATAAACTTTATTTCGAATAGCTCGAGAGATTGAGTAACTCCGAGTATAATAAAATTTAAGAAATGCAACAAAATTGATAAAGTATGAAAGTATAAAATTGTTACGCATGCGCATTTTATTAGTCTTGTCTTAAAAAAAAAAACAGAAAGAAAAGAAAAAATATATTTAGCAATTAATGAATGAGGCTGAGTAGGATATGAAGAATTAAGCAGATCGAGGAGCAACCTCGTTCCCAGGGTTCTCTCCTACCTGCCCTACGCTCCGTAGGGCGGTTAGGAGAGAACCCTGGAAACGAGGTTGATCGAGGAGGGTGTTATTCACAGAGACCGAAGGACGAGGTGGATAACACCCTCTGACATCTTCTTAATTCTTCACATCCTATGAAAGCCGAATTCATTAATTGCTTTATTATTCATTCAAAATAATTCCTAGTTTAAAAACATAGCTAAAACATGCTTACCTGCATTGTTGTTAAGTTTATCTTCGATAGTGTACGTTTAGGTTTGTCCAGCTCCACAAAGTATTCCCCAAATAGCAGATGTCGCCCTCTGAGTTGTCTTCTTGCTGTTTTTTGCTATGTTTTTAGCCATTAATTGCCTAGTTCCAGCTGTAGTTCTTACTCTTGAAACCAGTGAAGTGTCTGCCATTTTAGTTTTCGCAAACGAAAACAACTTTACCTTGTCCCCAGGTCTTCTCGGTTAACCATGCATTAACGTGTACAGGGCTGCATTTTTGACGTCATTTCCTCGTTAAACACAAAATTCTTCCAAATTTGGTCATCAGTAATTGGTTATGGTGAATTATGCGTGCGCTCTTAGCCAATCAGAATTTGGGAAATATTTTGAACGAATAATAAATATATATATCTACACAGTAACATTATGAATAACGCGCTTAAAAGCAATGAGAGATTCAGAAGCAGACAAGGCTGTACATACCTGTTGTTTCTTGTGAAGTTGAGTACTAATTCAAACATTTAAAACATTATTGTCAGTGGCAATGCATGTGAAAACATAAAAATGTGGTAGTGTTTCATATGCCAGAATCTGAAATATTGATAAATAACAAAGCGTAGATAACAATAGATGTCAGTGTATGACAATGGATAAAGAACGGAATGGAATGGGATGGGATGGGATGTGGTGACTTGGATTAGGAGACAGCAAGACCTGCCCTCTTTACCGTATATATTAACATCTTATCAGCAAGCTGGGATTTCAGCATACAAGGGAGCCATTGGTAACCGCTATCGGTCCATGTATGAGCTCACTGTAACTCACCCATATGAATGATGTGTGAAAGGCAGACCACACCACCTGGGAAACTTCCCCTACTCTTTTTGAACAGTGCTGTGGGTTCTTTTACATCCCCTCTGATTTGACTCATGAAAGGATGAAGGTGACAAGGCCAATGGCTTAATGTTATTGCCCAATGACGCAATCATCTCAAATTGAGAAGTCTCAAATCAAAACCAGCATGATCTCACCAGTCTTTAAAATATCCTGGTTATTGATCTGGCTGGAGTTTGAACCCATGACCTCCTGCTCGGGAGACTAGTGCTCTCCCAAATGAGCTAACCAGGTGGCAGAACATGAATAACAATTGATTGTATATTAAAGACAATGGATTCCGGTATGAAAGTCTACCCTGAAAATGACACATCCCCTACCAAATACTCTATGCCATGATCAAGATTTCTCAATATGATAAAATTATTTGTCTTACTTCCTCGTTGTTAATGTTCCCTGGTACAAAAAATTTTCTGCCCAGCCCTGTACATTTAATATGCATACAGTGATCTCATATTGTGTTGACGTAACAAAAAACTGATGCTGGTACATGCATTTGAAGGGAAAATTAAATTGGAAGATTCACAGGCTGAGAGAAAATATTATACTCAGTATAACTTTGTGTTTTTTTTTCTGTTTAGGTCATACAAGGTTGTGAAACACTTTGCCAGGAGACCCCTAGGAAGTGAGATAAATTCTTATTATCCCCCACTTAAGAAGTTCCAGACCCTTCTCTTTAGGCTGAGACATTTTGGATTCTACTACGATGAGCATTTGGTAAGTGACTACGGTTGACTCATGATAACTAGAGGTTTAAGTCATCAGGGTCTTAATTATCAGGGGATAGAAATGATCAATTATTAAAGAAATAAGACAGTCTTATTAAATTTAAAGTTCCTTGTACAATTGAAACTCAGTTTTGCTGGTCAACAGGAAAAATTCCCTTGGAGCGGGTTACAAGTAACCAAGGGTCACAAGAGTCTAACCATATCTCTCTTATTATTATTATTATTATTGTTGTTGTAGTTGTTATTAATAATATTATTATTATTATTATTATTATTACCAAAAAAAGTGCAAAGAAAACAATACTTTGTAAATCTGAACAGAGGGGAAAATTTTTGGTTTCTCTCATAACATTCATTGCACTTTCTCAAGTTAGAGTTATTGATCATAAAGTAAATCACCTCTACGGAAATAAAATTGCTTTCCGTAAGAGGGAGGTTCAAGTTAGTGAGGGTTCTATTTATTGACAGTGAAAGCACAGAGCAAATCTACATTGTAGGGGAGGTCAATTTTGGTTCACTTTAGCACAAGATTGGAGTGGTAGTCAACATTACTGTAGTGTACTTAAAGAGGCTGAACCATAAAAGTAACGTATGACATTAAGATTTTTTCAGTTTGCATGCATGTAAATATATTAAAATGGACATACATGTATCAAGCTATGGCCTAAAATAGCATGTACTAACCCTATTCAATAGATATTCTTAATGCACACATATTTTTTAATGGGTTACAATATAGACTTGACTTTTCCCCAATAAAACCAAAATCTACACTTTCTAGAATTTCCGAGAGGAGATGGCAGCAAAACGAAAAGAGAGAGGCAAAGGTCCACCAAAGAAAGGTAAAAAGCTGTGTTATCCCTTTAAACCTTGATATCAACATATATTTTCTCCTTCCTGTTCTCCATATGTTTCTTATTGTACTGCGTGAGAGAATTTGTTCAAACATCAAGACATTACCGTAGAACCTCGATAACTCGAACTAAATTTGCTTTCCTTTAATTAAAATTTCATGGAAATTTACCCCAATAACTCAAATTGCCCACCAACTCGAACTGTTTTTCGTTTCCCTTCAGAGCTCAAGTTACTGGGGTTCTACTGTATTTTGTCATGATTGGCGATCATTTTATTCGTTCTCTTGAACTGTTCCTTTGATCTCAGTCAGCTCAGTCCTTTGTTGCTCAGTCTGTGACCAAGACTACAGTAGTGCGTGAAAGCTTTGCTAGTTGCTTAATTATAAAAACACAATTATTCATGTGGAAATTTTTCTTTAATCATCCAACATGACAATATAATTTTGAATCAATGGAGTGCAATAACCCAATCTTTATATATATTTTTATTATAAAACAGGTGAAGGCAAGAGGGCCAAGAAGAAGAAATAAAAAGCCAATAATAATTCTTTACAAAATAATCATTGAGTACAGTTTAAAAAACCTGTAAAACAGGTCATGTTTGGTCAACAGTCATTTCATGAAATGTTGGCAGGGCTTACCTGGCTAGTAATTCCCTCAAAATTACAAACCAGCAGTGAGTCAAAATACAGCTGGGTAAGCTATCTGAAACCTGCTAGTCCTACTGAATCTCTTACGAATGCCCAAATCCATTCGCCAAGTATTCAAAAAATGTACCATAAAATAAAGTCAAATGTCTGCTATACTTCTGCCATTATTTTCGTATTTACATACATATAACAGTTGGCAAGCTTTTATACACTGTGTGTCGGTGAAATGAAGCGTGTGTTCTGACAGTAGGAGTTGATAAAAGTGGGTTTTTACATTTCTTTCATTGCAATCAAAGTGCTCTCTTTTGCAGTAGTGCTTACCTTCTCGACTAGAGTCTATCTGTGTATGTAGACTTAGAGGACATTTGTTGCAGTTTGTTAGAATGAAAGCTTCTACAGTATGGTTTCTTTTGTCAGTGCTTTCTTACTTCTATGTGAGAATACAGACTTGAGTTTTGATATAAAATTATTTTAGCCTGCGAATACAGCTGTCCTCTCCTCACTTCACAACACTAGGTGAACTAGGGATGTTGAAGAGCGAGGAAAAAGGGCTGAATTCTCAGGCTAATACAAATTAGTAGATTCTTTCTTTTTATTCACTGTGGTTTACACTCTAGCTTAGAACTCATGTGTTGCACATTAAACACGTTTGTGAACGGTTGGCGTACAAATAGCAGAACATTGCAGAGAGACTATTAATTTTTCTGTCTTATTTCCTATATGACGTTTTAGATTGTGCCGGGAACTCGATGCACCGAAAAGCTAGTTTAGAAAAGAAATTTTGGAATTAGCTCCCGTATTTTTTTTCACTTTTTGACAAAATACCTATAAGAATCCTTCTTGCGGTTCGTCTTTTAATGGCTCTGATAGGTAACAGATCGTTTCGCCCCCGGATGTAAGTCGATTCGACCGATGTTAAGGGTTTATTTGTCATTCTTTCAGCCTGAGAAAAGAAATAAGCGTGAAAAAACAGTGACTGCACATGTGGATCAACAACTTTTTAGATTGAGAACTTCACACATAATTATATATCAAAAATTACGTAGTAATAGTTGCGATCGCTGAGGTACATGTACATGTAGACCCGATGTACGTGTAGGTAGACTCCAGTTTTTTTTATGATGTACAGTCTTTCAGTATCTCTTATATACAATGTGATAATCGAGATAGTTGAGATGGTTCGGATCACTGGACGTATTTAGCAATCGCAGTAATAGAATCCAGCTTAATTAAAAAACATCTCTGATAAGCCGTGCTGTATAGTTCTGTTTGTCATCGAGCGAATCGACTTACTTCCGGGCGAAACGACCACAATTATTCTGACAGACCTTTGAGCAAGCTTTCTGGGGAACTCTTGGGCGCCCGCCCCCAGGGAGCTTGCTTGCAAGCTTGTGGCCCTGATTTCTTTAGCCTGCGCAGCAAGCGTTTCCGTGTGGTTTCGGAGCAAAGAAAAATGACCGAGGAACGACGAGGAACGGGAATTTCGGTTTTGGCAGGGCGAAAAATGGAACGAGAGCGCGGTCTTTTCCTCTCAATTCATTTTTCGCACTGTCAAGACCGAAAATCCCTTTCCTTGTTCTTTGCTCCGAAACCGCAGGAAAACGTTTGCTACGCAGGCTATGACTTCTTCGTTTCATTTCATATCAATTTTAGACCTTTGAATTCCCTTGGAGAATTGCGTGACGAGCCATAAGAGCGGTCTGGGATGGCCCGCCCGGAGAGCTTGTTCGCTGGCCTGCGGGCAGGCGCTGCTTTCCCGTGCTCCTCGCTTGCTTCGCGGTTGCCTTCTCTCGTCTGAAAAGCGAGAAATAATAATGCCTGTTCTGCAGGCTTTTGCTCGCAGGCTAGCTAACATACTAAACTAGCTGCATACTAAGCTTTGGCAGGAGTCTAGGCTCCTGGGCCCATTTGTTCGAGGGTCGATTAGCGCTTAACCCGGGGTTAAAATTAACCCGGGTTTCTTTTTGTTGTGTTCAAAAGCATTTTCTCGGATAATTTTCCCTGTTATTTTAAGAGCCTCCAATCATCAACTTGCAGACAAAAAGAATTAAAACTGAAATGCTTTTTAAACTTTCAAATCTGAATTCAAATCTCGCACTAACCCTGGGTTATCTTAACCCAGCTTCGAACAACTCGGCCCTGGTTTTGGTTACACCTGACCAGGGGTGTAGCCAGGATTTTTTCAGAGGCACGCACAATTCCCCAAATGTCCCTTCCGAGGTAACTGTGAAATGACGTACAAAAGAAATCTGAAAAATTCTTTATCGTCTTTTTGGCCGAAATCGAAAGTGAATACTATGTATCTAATTACTTTTAAATAAGCAATGTTTTGTAGAATAAACAATTCTTCTAATAAATATAATCATGATACTTTTCTTCCTTCGATCATAAGAGTTTCCGGTAAAACCAATTGAAAGTGTCATGTTCATGAATATAGGGTGCTTTAAAATAACTGTTACGTCACTATTTTCCGCGTTTATTCCAACTTGGAAAATGTAGGTGCATTTCACTAGAGTTGAATCCTTGAGAACCTCACCCAAGCTTGAACCGAGAAAGAAAAATTTATCATCGTGTGTTCAGACTTTCACCCGCTCCAAACAACGTCCCATAAAATTTCACGTCGTGGTCGTGCGGGGACAGCCGAAGGAAATGTACCAACAAGCGTGCTACTAACCGGCATGCAAAGGTTGTTTAACTTTTTAAAACTTTCTGCTTTTTGACCTGTTCTCGTTGCCATCGTCGTTGCTAAAGCCACCCCGGATATTTATCGATTGGTGTAAATTGTTGGGAATCCGAATGCCTTTTTAGTAGAAAGAAGGCTTGCGAAATGATCCGAAAAGACCCGCGATGTATTAAATCCGAAATCCTGAGTCCGAAATATTTATGAGTCCTGTACTGTAACCGTAGCGCCTATGCCAACAATCTAGTGGTATCCCAGACTTTTATTTGCAATTGAGTGATTTTAACATTCTTTTGCCGCTATTTGCCACATTATTTTTTACCGACAAAGCACCTTACGTTGCTGTAACGTGCCCTACTTAGTCTAGTGCGAACACCGGCCGAAGTGAAAACAACGCGTTTACTCTTTATACAATCCAGTCTTGCTATTTGCGCCCCTCTAAATTCGCCGTTTCTCTAAATATATCATTGAAGATTCGGTCCACCAATGAATCACGTCTCTTTTCTGGAAGCCGACATGCGGTGTAAAACTATGAATTAAACAGTCCGTTCATAAATGAATTGAGACAAACTGTGAACGTAAAATAATTATATTTTACCTATCTTATCCTTTGCTTTAGTTTCACTATTCACTTCCGTAACTTATTTTATTATTTGTTTTTGTTTTCACCCTCTACTCTTTCAAGTACGCAGGGGCGTACAGGTTGCTACCCCCCTGGTCACCCCTCTGTACACAAGTGGCTTAGCCTTGCTTAGCCCCGCGCAAATCGTCCCGTCCCCACCCAGGATGTTTTTCTTATTCTCTGCCGGTACGTACGTCATGTATGGGAATATATATTCTCTTCGACCTTAGACGCTTCGGGCTATTCGGTTCTTCGTTTCTTCTCTTCTTCAGGATTCGTCAGCTTCTTCAGAATACTCAGGGCCATTTCATTGGAATTCAAGCCTTCTGCTATTCATTGCTTCCTCACAGAGTGGGAGATTTATAATATTATGGCATGTATAAATTTTACGGTGGATTAGCGAAGCGACAATTTGAAAAACCCGCCCTCATGCGTTTGTTCATTTCCCAGCTGTCTGATGGTCATTTGTTTACACTCAAGATCAGAAGTGAATAAGATTGTTTATTCACCCATCGTGGGCTTGCGTTGGTTCAAGTTTGATCAATTTGCAGAAGAGAAATATTTATCTTGCGTTTGCCGTCTTCTTGTATGCAAATCTGTCATAACCGTCGATAAAGAACAAAATACCACCAGTTGAGTGTTGACAGCACCTTGGTAACCTTATGAGCGGGACAAATTTATAGCGTTTGTTGTGTTTATTCCGCGATGGCGTCACCGACAAAGGCCTCTAGAAGTCGAAAGTTACCATCTCCAAGAAGCAACGACTTGCCTAACGGAACTTATCAAAAGTACACAAAAGATCCCCAGGATGGAAGTGCAGATAATGGGTCGTCACTTCAGGAGTTTGGCAAGTTATTGAGTTTACTACTTTTGTTATTTCTTTAAGATAAACATTAGCAGTGCTAGTACCATGTATTGTCAGGGGTGTAGCTAGAAATTTTCCAGACTGAGGTACTCACAGTTTTGCAAGTTCACCATCTTCGGCTTCCCTCTACCAAGTCGATTCCATGCAGATGACCTAATGCTTATAATTTTTGCATTTTACTCAGGTAATTGCACTATTTTCCAGCAATCCCTTATTTACCCTCTGTTCATTTGCTTTGTTTTTGCTTTTTACTCATTCTTGACATTACACAGGTACAGTAGCTATGTACAATGTATGCCACTTATTGTGTATGTTACATGACTTTCATATATCTGTCCGCAAATTAATGGTATTCTCACAGCCAATCAGATTGTGCATTTGTGATAGAATTCTATCACAAACGCACAATCTGACTGGCTATCCTACTAAGAGAGATGAGATAGAAATAGTGGACGAAGTTCATTTCAAACCAGGGTTTGGCTCAAGCAGTGTGCAGCATCCTAATGACTTGATTTTGCCCTTTAACAACTGGAAAATATCAGTTTCTGGACAAAACTTGTATGCGGAGTAACCTGGATTTCATAGGTTAGAGATCAGGGCAGAATTGCAGTGCCAGCATTAGTCTGTGCCAAAGATGCTGTTATTCACTGATCAATTTGAAACCTCAGTATTCTTCCTAGGCATCCCTCTGGGCATTTGAACATTTTAAAACAAGTCTATTCAAATTCTCTTTACATTCGTCCAATGAAGTGGTCAAATACCGCTCCAAAAGAAAAAATATTTTGCAGATTGTGAATTTGAAAAA